GCTTCTACCTTGGGGTGGGGCGGGTATTCTTCCTGCTTCTGCTTCTTCAGCCACTGTCTCCTTTTCTCCATGGGTCCAATCCAGATTTCCTAGAGAGACTCTACTGGAGTAAGTAATCTTACTTCCTGGGGCACGCTGGGTCCCTGGCTAGCCTCAGCTTGGCCGGTTACTGGTCCTCATGACCAGTGACAGGTTTTATGTCCCATTGTTCCCTTCTGTAGTGGTGAATAGTGTTCAAGTACCCAGGAGCTGGGAGCGGAGCTGTTCCCACCCCAGCAGTCAATCCTGAACCCCCGCGCCCCCAGGTCCCCAGTGACACTCCCGTGTCCCAGGCGTCAGTGCTGCCCTGCCCCCCCCAGCTCCCTGCTGGGGGCCAGCCAAGCAGCAGGCTGTCAAGGGCCACGTGAGTGCTCCCACCCACCTTCTGAGGCAGGAAGGGGCAGGTCACTCCACTTGAAAGATGGAGAACTGAACGCAGACGACTCCTTTGGAGGTCACACAGGTCTTGCTGATTGCCGGGAGCTGGGGAAGCACCAAGGTCACTTCCAGGTCCCAGGCTTGCCTCCCTCTGCTGTCTCCCCACCACCCCTACCCCAGTAGACCAAGCACTTTCTGTTCATTACCCAGACCCCTGCTCATCACTCTCATTCCGTCCCCAGAGCCTTCTGAGTCCTGACTTCAACGAAAAGGCGGTGGAGGAAAGGGGAAGAGCGGGAGGCCAGAGGGAGGTGGACGGGGAAGCCGGGGTTAAGCTGACAGTGCCTGAAGGCGGAAGGTGGCCTCCCGCCCATGAAAGCCACACGCTGGCCAGTTTTCCCCGGGGCAGAAATACACCCGCCAGCGAGTGAGAGGAGCCCGGGGCGAGGCTTTCTAATGACAAGGGTTGGGGATGGCTTCCGGGGGAAAGAGAATCCCCTCTCCTCCCCGCTGCCCCTTGTTGGTCCATCTCCTGACCCCCCGGGCTCCACTTCTGTCTTCTCAGAGCTATGTTTTCTGAGAAGGCACACAGCATGAGCTAGGACGGTCAGGCCCGCAAGAGACCTTGGAGCTCATCTTATCCAACATGACCTTTTTCAGAGTTGAAGAAACTGAGGCCCAGAGAGGGTCATGTCTTGACCAAGGACACACAGCTAAGGAGCAGTGACATCAAGCCAAGAAAATAAAAAGCAATACACAGTTCTCTGGACTGCCTCTTATTCAGCCACCCCTCTTAAAGGCCCCTTCAGAGAGTGCACCGGCCACATCCCAACACCGCGTCCAAGAAGCTGGACCTCCTCTGAGCTCCTCAGGCCAGGGCCTCCGTCTGCCCTCCGGCAGATTCTGTTCCACCCAGAGACACCCTTCACTGTCGCGGACGATGCCTCCGAAGCAGGCCGTGCTCTCTGGCTGTGGTCAACGTAGGGTTAGGGAGTGAGAGAGGGCATGGTTCGGAGAAAGAACAAGACCGGCACTACAGGAAACGATCACCTTTAATGAGGCAAGAAGGGGCAGCAGTCAGACTAGTGAGCTGCTGCACAGACGTCTGTGGGGTCGTGCAGAGTCGGACATGACTGAAGCGACTTAGCCGCTGCAGCAGCACTAACCCAACGAAAGAATAAGTATAAGCTAAGCTAAGCTAAGTCGCTCCAGTCGTGTCCGACTCTGTGTGACCCCATAGGCATCAGCCCACCAGGATTCCCCGTCCCTGGGATTCTCCAGGCAAGATCACTGGAGTGGGTTGCCATTTCCTTCTCCGATGCTTGAAAGAGAGAAGTGAAAGGGAAGTCGCTCAGTTGTGTCCGACTCTTAGCGACCCCATGTACCACAGCCTACCAGGCTCCTCCATCCATGGGATTTTCCAGGCAAGAGTACTGGAGTGGGGTGCCATTGTCTTCTCCAAGAGTAAGTATATATAGGCATATATGTGGAACTCTGCTGTCTTAAGGGGGCCTGTTCTTCTCCAAGGTTGTTCGGAGTAGTTATCTCTTAAAAACGGCTGGGGCAAGGAATTCTGGAGATCGGCCAGAGACTGGACCAGCTGGGAGCTGGGCGTCATCAACATTAATGTCCAATTTTTTTTCTTCGGGTGAGCGACTTCTTTGTTTTGCATAGAGTGGTGGGGAGGACCCAGAGGGGAGTTTTAACTCCAGGCTGTTTTGAGTCATGTAACTTTCCTTCCGTCGGGGAGGCTGCCTTGGGCACCACGGCCAGCATGCCGTGCACAGGCTGGGTGCCCTCTGGGCTCTGCGGCCTGTGTGCCAAGCAGGGCCCACAGAGCCCCTCCGCAGGCAAACCCAGCCCTGCTGGCTGGCACTGCGGCTTTCCGCCCCCGGGGCTCTCTGCCCTCCGCCGGGGTTTGTCCTGCATCCTCTCGCTCACCTGCTCCATGTGTGGGGTGCCTCGTGGAGCCCTCTGTCAGCCCCTGCAGAGGACTGCTCCCACGCCTGGCGCCCTCTGACCAAAACGGACAGGCCACCATTTTGAAATCTTGACAAATGTAGACGGGACAAAACAGACGTTTCAGAGCCTGCTGGGCACCCGCCCCCCAACCCGCACCCACAACTATCACGGCTCATCTCCGAGGAGCAGGCTGGTGGGGTGGGGGGCAAGGATGAGGGGCAGGGCCTCTTTACTTGCCTTCACACGGTCTTAGAAATAGCCGGGATGAGTGTCCCAGGAAAAGGCTATTAATAGGCCTCCTTCCACACGCTCAGCTTTCCGGGGCTGGAGCTGTGTGAGAATGAGTCAGCAGATGGAAAGGGCTAATGATGAATGTGGGGGAGCAGAACCATCGCTCGGCAGGGGAAGGGGAGCTGGGAGCTGTGACACTGCGCTTTTCACCAGCCTCTGGTGCTTCCCGCCTGGCCCTCCTCCGAGCACAAGATCGTTCAGCTGGTGCCTTGCAGACGCTGTCAGTTCTAATTCTGAAATCAGAAAATTTTTAAAAATAATTTTAACTTATTTACTATTTATTTATTTTTGACTGTGCTGGGTCTTCCTTGCTGCCCTGGTTTTCTCTAGTTGTGGTGAGCGGGGGGCTCCTCTTTCTTGGTGTGTGCGGGCTTCTCATTGCGATGTCTTCTCTTGTTGGGGAACATGGGGCTCTCGGGCATGTGGGCTCGATGATTTTGGTTCCCAGGCTCTAGAGCGCAGGCTCAGGAGTGGTGGCCCACGAACTTATTTGCTCTGAGGGCATCTGCGATGCCTTCCCGGACCAGGGGTTGAACCTGTGCCCTCTGCATTGGCAGGTGGGCTCTTTACCACCAAGCCACCTGGGAAATGCCTGAAAGCAGAATTTAAATCAGCAAAAACATCCACAAAGTCCATCTTCCCACTCCCCCTCCCATCCTGTCCCTTCATTGGCTAAGTCGGAGACCAGGGAAGAAGCCCCGTCCCCTGGGGCACGGAGCGCTGCGTGGGCAGCACGTGACCCTCTGCACACCTGCCCGCCTGCCGGCTCACTCTGGGACGAGCTCGCACTGTAGACTCGACACACGTTGTTGAACCCCAGTCCCCGTGACAGGCAATTTTACAGATATCTCCCCATCCTCACAATAACCCTGCGAGGCCATGGTACTGATGTCTTGCTCTCACAGATGGAGAATCAAAGCTGAGAGATATTAAGCAATTTGCCAAAGGAGCCGCAGCCAGTGTCACTTATCAAGCGACTCACATAAGCCAGGGGCCTACAGTTTTCTGAGATAAAGATCCTAGCCTACAGATGAGAAAATTGGGGCTCAGAGAAACAGAGGGAACCTAGTAAGTGGTGTCAGGATTCGGTCCTGGGTCTGGCCCCTCCCACCCCCAAAATGACAGGGCAGGAAGGGCTCCAGCTCCAACTCTGCTTCTAAATCCACCACACCTCCTGCCTCTCCAAGAAAGCAGTTACTGCACCCTGATTGAAAGCCCATTAGTCTGGCAGCGTCCAGTATCAACTCTGGCTGACTGGCCTCCGGACAGACCTTCTCGTATCACAAATCACACATTGCCCTCCATCCTCCTGAAAGCCAGGGACCAGGGAGGGAAGATCCCAAAGTGTCCATGTGTACTTAATTGCTCAGTTGTGTCCGACTCTCTGTGACCCCACGGACTGTAGCCTGCCAGGCTCCTCTGTCCATGGGATTCTCCAGGCAAGAATACTGGAGTGGGTTGCCATGCCTTCCTTCAAGGGATCTTCCTAATCCAGGGATCGAACCACATTGCAGGCGGATTCTTTACCAGCTGAGCTACCAGGGAAGTCCAAGAGTACTGGAGTGAGTAGCCTATCATGTCTCCAGGGAATCTTCCCAACCCAGGAATCGAACCTGGGTCTGCTGTATTGCAGGCGAATTCTTTACCAGCTGAGCTACCAGGGAAGCCCAAAAAGTGTCCATTCAGGAGAGCAAAAGTTAAAAGACTTCCTAAGAATCAAATGTTCCTATGTCCAAATTTACCAACTATAAGTCACTTTTTTGAGTGGCCTAAATCCCGTGGTGATATGAGTGGAACTTGCCATCAGCCCCAGGTTTAAATGAAGTGGCCTTAAAGGTAACAGATACAGCATCAACATGCCAATTTTTATCACATCGTAACAGTTCTGTGGCTTATGGTTGGTAAATTTAGATAGAGGACTATTTGATTCTCGGGAAAGTTGTGTGTGAAAGGGGTAGCGAGGGGACAAAGAAGGGGTCAATGGGAACTTTAACCTCTGCTTTCTAAGAACTTCAAGTGGTGGGAACCATGACAGACTACAGCATGTTTTTAACATCAGGGAAACGGTGCAATAAGACAACCCTTCTTGAGCCAACCACCCAGTGCAGCCAGAAATAAAATAATTAGATAAATAAGAATTTTTCAAAGAAGCCCTTAGTAAAGGTGTGTTGAAGGAATGAGTGAGTGAGTGTTCCCTGCCCTGCAGGGTCAGAAATAGCCCTTCTCTTTCCCGTCTTTACTCTGCCTTAACTTAATCATAGCCCGTTTCTCTAACTCACACGACATTATGTATTAGCATCTTAATTTCCTACCTCCCCTCTCTCCCATAGGAATGTAAATTCTGAAAGAACAAAGACTCTGCCTCTTGTCCACTGCTGTTCCCGGAGGCTGGAACGTCTAAGAAACCCTCGGTTGGACTTGCCTGGTGGTCCGGTGGTTAAGACTCTGCCTGCCAGCGCAGGGGACACGTGTTTGACCCCTGGTCCGGGAAGACACCCCAAATGTCGCAGAGAAGCTAAAGCCCGTGTGCCACCGCTTCTGAAGCCTGTGCACCCTGGGGCCTGTGCTCCACAACAAGAGAGGCCCCCACTAGAAGCCCTACGAGTGCAACCGCAGCTCGAGAGCAGCCCCTGCTCGCCGCAGCCAGAGAAAGCCCGCACGCAGCAACAGAGACCCAGTGCAGCCAAAATAAAATAAAATAGTTAAGTAAATAGAATTGTTAGAAGAAGCCCTTAGTAAAGGTGTGTTGAAGGAATGAGTGAGTGAGTAAGTGTTCCCTGCAGGGCTGTTTAGCCACGGAGAGATACCCTCCATGCCGGCTTCTCTGGGAGTGGAGTCCCCTTAACCTGGCCTCCCCTCGCCTTGGGGTCAGTCAGATGCAGCATCTCCACAGGCTCCGCTCTTTGAGGAAGAGACAGGGAGCTGGTGCTTGTGAAGAAGCCCCTGTTGAGACCTACTGAGCCCTGTGTGTGTGTTAGTTGCTCAATTGTGTCCGACTCTTTGTGACCCCAGGGACTGTAGCCTGCCAGGCTCCTCCATGCGTGGGATCCTCCAGGCAAGAATACTGGAGTGAGTAGCCATTCCCCTCTCCATTTTAAGTCCTGAACGGAGAACTTAAAAAGCATAGTTCCCACCCCATCGAAGGGAATCCCCATTCTTGAGAGTCTCCCCCTCTGGAGTGTGGCAGTGTCTGAAGCTGGCTGTGGAGACCAGGGAAACTTTCTGGAAAGCACCACCCTCCCCCCAGATGACTATGGGCCCTTCAGCTACCCACCCCCAGCCTAAGCCACGCTCCCCCCAACCCTGCAACGCCAATCTTGTTTTGTCCACCGATTCTGATTCCCAGAGCCCCAACCAGATGGCATGTACACAGGGGGGTACGTGTAGTCTGCCCAGGCCTCATGGACAACAGGACACTTGGCAGATAAAAGGGGTTCGCCTCGCAAAGGCCTGGGTTGCACAATCCCACTGAGCTCCCTGGAGTGGGAGGCTAGTCCCTCTGAACTCACGATTACCACCGTGGAGATGAAAGGCTTCCTGTGGGAGAGAGCCGTCCCCCGGAGCCAAACAACACTGGAGGCTGGCCGGCTGCCATCTTGTCAGGGCCGTTCCTGGCAGCCGGGCCGGGTGACTGGCTCCCTCACGGGCCAACCCGCCTGGGGCAAAGAAAGTCAAGGCGCCCAGACCAGCCGTCACTCCTCGGTGAGCGCGGCGCTGCGGCCTGAGCACTGTCCCGGCCTTCTCAGCCCCAGCCTGGGCCACTTTGGCGAGAGCAGCTGCTTGGCCCGTCCAGAGGGGACAGACTGAAGGGCGCAGCTCGCTCACCTTGCCCAAGGCCCCCCTAGGATTCCTGACTCGACTCAGAGGCGAAGGAAGGGCACGCTGGGGCACCCGGCTCCGGGGACCGTGAGGACTGGGGGAGGCCACCGCCCGAGCTCGCCACGCTTTTCCGACCTGGCCAGCCCCTGGTCTCCTGGCCCAGTGCCCGCAAGCTGGCTCAATAGCAAAAGCGCCTGGAGTCCCTGGTAAGAAGGCAGATCCCAGGCCCCACACTGTGAGCTCTGACTCCATACACGCGAGATGTGCAGGCGTGCTAAGTCACTCCAGTCGTGTCCGGCTCTTTGCGACCTCATGGACTGTAGCCCGCCAGGCTCCTCTGTCCATGGGATTCTCCAGCAAGAATACTGGAATGAGTAGCCATTCCCTTCTCCAGGGCATCTTGTCGACCCAGGGACTGAACCCGTGTCTCTTATGTCTCCTGTGTTGGTAGGCAGGTTCTTTACCACTGGCGCCACCTGGGAAACTAGGGCCTAGAAATCTGGGTTTTTACAAAACCCGCAGACAGTTCTGACACAGGGCTCTGTGGGCCAGCTGTCCTCACCCCTTGTGTTATGTGGAGCTGAGCGGACCAGAGGCCCCAGTGACTAGGGCTGTGGAAGCAGCTCCCAAGGGGGCCACTTGGCGTCTGCCGCGCTCCTGGCAAAGGCTCCAAAGTCACGTCTGGAATCCTCACAGGATGAGAGCATCTTCATCCAGAGGCAGAAACCACCTAGGCCCATTGAGGGGTGTGTCCCTGGGGCCGGCTCCGCGGAGCCCCCCAGAGCCCCATGATGTGCAGTGACCCCCACGGTGTTCTGTGGCCATGGGAACACGCACACTCTGGGATGGGCCAAAGGGGCAAAGGCTGGGAGCTGTGCGTCCTTTTAACCAGAAAGGACTCTCTCTCTAGGGAACTGAGAAACGAGCTCCTGAAGCCCAAAGCTGGACCCGCTGGAAACATGGCCTCTCCGTCTCATCAATCCTCATTGCTCCAGGACGGCATGAGGACCAATTCAAAACCGACAGGCTGGGGCTTGGGGCTCCTTACACACTCACACCCACCACTCATAAAGAGTACACACAGGCTCACAGGCTCACTCACCTGCACATACATCACACACTGACATACACGTTCACGTACGCGCACTCACTCACACACCGCAGATGTACATGCGCACACACGCACTCACAGCCTGAGCAGGGGCGGGCGTCTAGAGCTGAGGCAGGACCTTGTCCCTGGTTGTTTCCAAGTGTGTGGAGGAAGTAGACTCTGCCCTCTCCTGCCCTGGGAGACAGCTGGAGACTCGGGAGGCAGAGGAATTTCCCTGAGGGCCTCCCCACTCCGGCCGGGGCAGGGAGGGGCCTGCCTTTGCAGGCCAGCCTGGGCCCCCACCAGAAATCTCTTTGGAGCCGCCCTTTCTTCTCTGTGGCCTCCCCTGCCGCCCCCTCCCCGGGGCTCCCCTGGGGCTCCCCTGGGGCTCAGGTTGGGGTGGACACCCCTGCAGTCCTCAGTCGTCAGGATTGGGGTTGTCTGGGGTTGCTGGGCAGGCAGAGATGGACCTAGGGAAGGGGGAAAGGCAGACTTCTCAGGGGAAACTGGCAAAGTGGGAGGAACTCCCCAAGTCAGTGCTCTTTTCTTGAATGCATTTCTTTTCATCACAAGGACAGAGGGTCTGGGTCTCTGGGGAGCAATATCCCCGAGTCTCCACTGCAGTCTGTGCTGCCCACACCCCGTAACCACGAGCCAGGTGGAACTCTCCAGCCTGATTAGCCAGAAACCCAGGGCTTCCCGGTGTTTGGCAAACAAGCCCCTCCAAGCTTTTCAACGAGGAGACCCAGGAAACCTATCCACCCACCCTCCTGAGTCCTCCCAAGAGCCTCCCACAGACAGAGCTTTGTAACCTTTGTTACCGCTGGGCCTCCGGGTCCCCGCCTCCACCCACAGCTTCCTAGCCCGGGCGGCTCATCCACCCCAGGACCAGGCCTTCCTGCCGGCACGCCCCGTGGCCTGGGCCACACCGCCCAGGCCCAACAGCCTTGGCCCCACACACACAAAGCCTGCTTCTGAAATAGTTCCTGGATGCTCGCAGGGCTGGAGTCCCAGCCTCAGACTCCCGTGCAACCGGGCCAGCACATTCTTCCGTCCTCCCATTGTCCTGCCCGCCCGCGTTCTTGCCAAGAGCCGCCCTGGGGAGTTGGGAGGGGAGGCGTCTACTGGGCCTGGGCTCACTCAGCCCCCAGATTCTGCCACCCCGACCCCACCCCACTCCCATCTCCCAGAGCCCCCTGCAGTCCATGGTTTCCTGCAGCTTTCTCCTGCATCCTGGATGAAGAAGGTCCCTCTTCTGAATTCCTGGTCTGAGCTCCAGACTGCACCAAGACCGCCTCACCAAACTCGGGGTCCACAGCCCAAGCCCACCACCCAGAAAAGACTTCTCTGAGCAAGGGCATCCCCACTCCCCGGGAAGCCCCCACTCCCCGGGAAGCCGCCACTCCCACGGGAAGCCGGGAAGCCGCGGGAGGATCGACCTGGGCGATGAGGGCTGTCTGACCGATGAGGGAAACCAGGAAAATGGGGAATTTCAATGTCACTCCTCACTCACCAGGGACTCCACGGCCCAGTCTGGCTCTGGGACCACACCTGGGCTGAATGCCCCGAGGAAGCCTGGGACTCCTCTCTGCTGACCACCGCCCCCGGCTTTGAAACTGGCAACTCAGAGGGCCCTGACCCTAATGCTAACACATGGCTTTTCTTCCTTTAACCCTGACACTTGTTAGTAGCAACTCCCAGCACCTAAAGCCTCCCCCGCCCTGCCCTGGCCTGGCTGTCTGGTTCCTCTGTTAATGAAACTCTGCGTTCCTCTTTGTCTCTTTGATCCAGATTTTAACTGGCCCAGCCCTCCCCAGCCAGGCGCCTGGGCCACGAGCCAGGCCCTCCTCCAGGGTGGATGCTGCTAGGAGGCTGGAGGCTGTGGAGTTTTGGTCTCTGCTTGTCCAGGGTCTCAGACTCTCATGGGGACCCTTGGTTGGCCCAGCGTCCTCCCAGGGGAAGAAGCTGGATGTATCCTCACCAAGCCAAGTATTTCTACTCATTTGTTTATTCATTCACTCATTCATTCATTCGATGTGGTCAGGATAGGCTGCTCACCCCAGGAAGACTGTCACATGACTTGGTCTCCTAGACTGTGAACTCCTGAAATCTGTAAGGAGGGCACCATATTATATTTTTAACTTTCTAGAGCCTGGTACTAAGTCTAATATATAATATTTCCTTAATAAAGAATTACCTGCTGAATGAATGAAGGCATCCACAAATAAATGAATGAATTGAGGTTCTGGTCCCGTGGCCCATTGTCCTTCCTCACCAAACTCGGGGTCCACAGCCCAAGCCCACCACCCAGAAAAGACTTCTCTGAGCAAGGGCATCCCCACTCCCCGGGAAGCCCCCACTCCCCGGGAAGCCGCCACTCCCACGGGAAGCCGGGAAGCCGCGGGAGGATCGACCTGGGCGATGAGGGCTGTCTGACCGATGAGGGAAACCAGGAAAATGGGGAATTTCAATGTCACTCCTCACTCACCAGGGACTCCACGGCCCAGTCTGGCTCTGGGACCACACCTGGGCTGAATGCCCCGAGGAAGCCTGGGACTCCTCTCTGCTGACCACCGCCCCCGGCTTTGAAACCGGCAACTCAGAGGGCCCTGACCCTAATGCTAACACATGGCTTCTCTTCCTTTAACCCTGACACTTGTTAGTAGCAACTCCCAGCACCTAAAGCCTCCCCCGCCCTGCCCTGGCCTGGCTGTCTGGTTCCTCTGTTAATGAAACTCTGCGTTCCTCTTTGTCTCTTTGATCCAGATTTTAACTGGCCCAGCCCTCCCCAGCCAGGCGCCTGGGCCACGAGCCAGGCCCTCCTCCAGGGTGGATGCTGCTAGGAGGCTGGAGGCTGTGGAGTTTTGGTCTCTGCTTGTCCAGGGTCTCAGACTCTCATGGGGACCCTTGGTTGGCCCAGCGTCCTCCCAGGGGAAGAAGCTGGATGTATCCTCACCAAGCCAAGTATTTCTACTCATTTGTTTATTCATTCACTCATTCATTCATTCGATGTGGTCAGGATAGGCTGCTCACCCCAGGAAGACTGTCACATGACTTGGTCTCCTAGACTGTGAACTCCTGAAATCTGTAAGGAGGGCACCATATTATATTTTTAACTTTCTAGAGCCTGGTACTAAGTCTAATATATAATATTTCCTTAATAAAGAATTACCTGCTGAATGAATGAAGGCATCCACAAATAAATGAATGAATTGAGGTTCTGGTCCCGTGGCCCATTGTCCTGTAGAAGGAGACTTCCAACTCTGGGAGAGCAGTAGAGACCTCCTGGTCAGTGCATTCCTCCCCCGCCCCAACCCACTGCCCCGACCAACCCCCACTGTCCTTTAATGTCTGTTTATAGAACTGTGGGTTTTCAGGTTTTATAAGGCAGAAGGTGAGATGGTGAGACACTGCGGGCCAGAGATGACTGTTGCATCCACTAGAGAAAGAAGTGGCAATGGTGACCTTAGTGTTTGTTTAGAAAGTGAGTCATGGGTGCATGGGAATGGGTGGCAGTGGGCTTGGGGTTACTCTGATTCCCCACGTCTCTGCAAATCCTTCCAGAGGAATGCCATTTGGTTATGGTCTTTTCTATCCTTCCAGAAGCACACCTCTACAGCACCAGCATGTGTGTGTGTGTGTGTGTGTGTGTGTGTGTGTGTGTGTGTGTGTAAGTATATCAACAATCGGGGTCTCCTTGGAACCTTGGAATAAACATAGAAAACATGAGCCCTTGTTCAATCTAGTTGAGCCAACAGACAAGAAACCAAAATGTGAAAAATACACTGTGGAGTATGCAAAACACAGGGTGGGCCAATGCTTAGTGAATCTGGTGTATTGATACCGTGAGAGTCTGCTGTGAAGTGGGAACTCCATGAAGACAGAGACTTCTTACCCTCACATTCCCGGCCCCAGGCCCCATGCCTCACGTGAAGACAGTAGGGACCCGGTGAGTATAGCTGGGGCAGATGGATCCTTAATGTGCTCAAGCTTCAAAGAGCAGAAAAACCGGAATGTGGAAAAATCAAGATAAGAAGGCAGAACCCCTGGCTCCCCAGGAAAGGTGACAAATTCAGGGAACTCTAAGATAATTCTTACTTGTAACTTCAGAGCAATCCAGTGTGGATTACCTCTCTAAGCCCCAACCAAGTGATGAGGGAAAGGAACAATCAAAGAAGAAAAGTTCTGCAGCCTTTGGGGCTCGGCGAGACTAACTGCCCGGCGGAAAACCTGGCTGCCGAGCCCCGCCTTCCAGCGCCGGGCGGTTCCCTAGGGCACTGAACTGAGCTCTTGACTGGCATCAACTCTAAATCCTCAGAACATCCCAGGGAGCGCCACAGGGTCCCCTGTCCTGAGCCATGAGTGAGCTGGAGGACTGCCCCTCGCAGGTCCACGACTTCCAGTCTGTGGACCACCTGAAAGTCTGTCCCCTCTACACAGCGGTGTTGGCGCGCTCTGAGGATGACGGCATCGGCATCGAGGAGCTGGACACCCTGCAGCTGGAGCTTGAGACCCTGCTCTCCTCTGCCAGCCGGCGCCTGCGGGTGCTTGAGGCTGAAACCCAGATCCTCACTGACTGGCAGGATAAGAAAGGTGACCGACGATTCCTGAAGCTGGGTCGAGACCATGAGCTTGGAGATCCCCCCAAACATGGGAAGCCCAAGAAGCAGAAACTGGAAGGGAAGGCGGGACATGGGCCTGGCCCTGGCCCTGGGCGACCCAAATCCAAAAACCTTCAGCCCAAGATCCAGGAATATGAATTCACTGATGACCCAATTGATGTGCCACGTATCCCCAAGAATGACACCCCCAACAGATTCTGGGCTTCGGTGGAGCCGTACTGTGCTGATATCACCAGTGAGGAAGTGCGCACGCTAGAGGAGCTACTGAAACCCCCAGAAGATGAGGCTGAACATTACAAGATTCCGCCCCTGGGGAAGCACTACTCCCAGCGCTGGGCACAGGAGGACCTGCTGGAGGAGCAGAAGGACGGGGCCCGGGCAGCAGCCGTGGCTGACAAGAAGAAAGGCCTCATGGGGCCCCTGACCAAACTGGACACTAAAGATGTGGATGCCCTGCTGAAGAAGTCTGAGGCCCAGCATGAGCAGCCAGAAGACGGGTGTCCCTTTGGTGCCCTGACACAGCGCCTACTGCAGGCCTTGGTGGAGGAAAATATTATTTCCCCCATGGAGGACTCTCCTATTCCAGACATGTCTGGGAAAGAATCGGGGGCGGATGGGGCAAGCACCTCTCCCCGCAATCAGAACAAGCCCTTCAGCGTGCCTCATACTAAGTCCCTGGAGAGCCGCATCAAGGAGGAGCTGATCGCCCAGGGCCTGCTGGAATCTGAGGACCGCCTCGCAGAGGACTCGGAGGACGAGGTTCTGGCGGAGCTGCGCAAGCGGCAGGCTGAGCTGAAGGCGCTCAGTGCCCACAACCGCACCAAGAAGCACGACCTGCTGAGGTGAGTGTGGACAGGAGGACTGGGCCAGGAGGTGGCCAGTGAGGCCTCGGCCACAGGGGTCACCTTCTGGGAGCTTGAAGACAGGCTTTCCAAACCTGGCAGGGCCTCTGAAGACCTGAGGAGCTTTGAAAAAAAAAAAGTCATTGCTGGGCACCACCTCACTGGTTATATCTCAGACATTCTAATTCCGCTGACTAGAGCTGAGGCATCTGTGAGTTATTTATTTACCTCAAACTGGTAAAAAACAATACAAAATTTTACCCTCTAAACCNGGTCGTCCTCACCCCCTCCCCTCCCCACCCCTTTCACCCTCAAAGACTTCTCCCTTGTGGTTTTGTGAAGTGCAGACTTAAGAATAAAGAGACTGAAACATGGTTTTTTAAAAAGCAAAAATAAATAAATAAATAAATAAAAATAAAGAAGAAAAGTTCTTGGAAATTAAAACCGTGATTGCTAACATAAAATACTGAATAGGGCCTAGAAGGAAAAGGTGAACCAATCTTCCAAAATGTGAGCCCCAAAGAAAGAGAGAATCAATGCAAGAAGCCCAATATCCAAGAGAGAAAATAAAGGGAGAGAAATCATCAAATAAATAAGGAAGTTTCCCAAATCTGAAAAAAAGATTCAAACCTTACACTTTGAAAGGCCCATTAAGTGCTATACAGGATGAATGGGTGGGAAGAAGAGCCTGCATCAGCAGACACAGCTTCATGGAAGAACCTGGGTCTTCACGGACCCAGGTAAATAGCATTTACATGCAAGTGTAAATGCTATTTGGACCTCAGATCTTCAGCAACTTTTGCCTGCCATATTTCTAATGGTGGGCAGGGCCCTGAGCCATTCCAGCCCAGTCTACCTGAGAGGGCAGGGGCAGGCTTGTGGAGACACTACCCTTACTCTGCCTTGCTTACCAAAAGGGCAATCAAAACAAATAGGTGCCAGCTTGCTAACATATGTATTTTCCTTTGTTCATCCCCCCCATAACTGTTGCCCCACGCTAAGTGACTTTCCGCACGTGGCTTAAAAGCATGGACTCTGGAGCCACGCTGTCTGCATTTAAATCCTGTCTCTGCCTTTTACTAGCTTGGGCAAATTACTTAAGTTCTCTGTGCCTCAGTTTTCTCATCTATAAAATGGGAATGAAAATAGAACCTCTCCCAGAGAGCTGTGAGGATTCAATCATTAATATGAGTAAAACAGGTCTAACAGTACCTGTCCTGAGAACAATACACTAGATGAGTGCTGCTATGATTATTTAAAGACATCAGTTCAGTTCAGTCACTCAGTCGTGTCCAACTTCTTGCAACCCCATGGACTGCAGCACGCCAGGCTTCCCTGTCCATCACCAACTCCCAGAGCTTGCTCAAACTCATGTCCATCAAGTCGATGATGCCATCCAGCCATCCGATCCTCTGTTGACCCCTTCTCCTGCCTTCAATCATTCCTAGCATCAGGGTCTTTTCAAATGAGTCAGTTCTTTTCATCAGGGGGCTAGAGTATTGGAGCTTCAGCTTCAGCATCAGTCCTTCCAATGAATATTCAGGACTGATTTCCTTTAGGATTAACTGGTTTGAGCTCCTTGCAGTCCAAGGACTCTCAAGAGTCTTCTCCAACACCACAATTCAAAAGCATCAATTCTTCGGCATTCAGCTTTCTTTATAGTCCAACTCTCACATCTATACATGACTACTTCAAGCTTAGGGTCAAATACTTGGTTGGGCCTTCATACTGATGTCAGTGAACTAAGCAATGCTAGTGGGCAAAGCTGCCTGCCTTTGGGAGAAGTTTTAGAATAGCCAAGGAAGAAGAGAAAAGATAGGAAAAATGGAGAGGAGGAGATGGGAAGGGGAGTGGGAATGAGAGAGGAAAGCAGTGAGAGCCTACAGCAGGGCTGACATGCTCTACTACCAAGTCTTTGTGCTCCTCAGGGANCTTTAGTTCTGCTTCACTTTCTGCCATAAGGGTGGTGTCATCTGCGTATCTGAGGTTATTGATATTTCTCCTGGCAATCTTGATTCCAGCTTGTGCTTCATCTAGGCTGGAATTTCACATGATGTACTCTGCATATAAGTTAAATAAGCAGGGTGACAATATACAGCCTTAACGTACTCCTTTCCCGATTCGGAACCAGTCTGTTGTTCCATGTCTTTGCTTCTTGACCTGTATACAGATTTCTCAGGAGGCAAGTCAGGTGGTCTGTATTCCCATTTCTTGAAGAATTTCCCACAGTTTTTGTGATCCACACAGTCAAAGTCTTTGGCGTAGTTGATAAGCAGAAGTAGATGTGTTTCTGGAACTCTCTTGCTTTTTTTCTATGATCCAACGTATTTACATCAAGGCAATCACAAATGCTGCAGGCCAGGACCTCTTACTCAGAGAGCTGGGTTATCAGCATACTGCTAGATAGGCCAGTTGTCCTTGTGGTAATTTTTAACCCTTTTGATACCTCCTGCTCAAAATTCCAAAGGTCAGAAGCATGCTCAGCCCTCTCGAGGTCTGTGTGCATCCTGAGCGGAAGTAAAAATTTGCCCTCTGTTCTTCAGGGTGCCTCGGGCCTGCCTGCGCCACTGAGGAACCTGGTGCTGCAGTGGCAGCCGAAGTGTCATCCTAGTGACTGTCCCCTCCTGACGTGGCGACAGAGATGTGCACCCTGGGTGCCAGATGTTCATTATCCAAAATTCACGTATTATGTATCTATCACATGTCACACACTGGGCCCAGAGAGCCCTAGTCCCAGCCCCAAGCCCCTATGGCTGGCTGTCTCCTGGCCATCAGTAGAGCAAAGGGCCTAGAAATGGCAGCAGCTGGAAAGCATAATCCTTTTAGAATAGTGGTTCTCAGATTTGAGGGAACATCAGAAACACCGGAGCGCGGCAAGTGGCTGAGCGCCAGAGCTTCTGATTCAGTGGCAGTCATGGGTGGGACCAGAAAATGTTCATTTCTTTTCTTTCTTTTTTATGTTTTGGCCATGCCAAGCAGCGTGTGGGATCTTAATGCCCCAACCAGGGATTGAACCCATGCCGCCTGCATTGGAAGGCTGAATCTTAGCCACTGGACCACCAGGGAAGTCCCAGAAAAATGTGCTTTCTTCCAGGCTTCCCGGGTGGCTCAGTGGTAAGGTATCTGCCCGTGGTGCGGAGACCCAGGTTTGATCCCTGGGTTGGGAAAATCCCCTGGAGAGGGCAATGGCAACCCATTCCAGTATTTTTGCCTGGGAAATCCCATGTAAAAGGGAGTCTGGTGGGCTATAGCCCATGGGGTTGCAAAAAGTCAGACATGACTGAGCGTACACACACGTGTGCACAGACACAAAATAAGCTCCCAGGTGCTGGGATGCTGATGCGGCTGGTGTGGGCACTGCATTGTAAGAACTACTGCTCTAGTGCTTACAAACCGGACAGTGATTCTCCAGGGAGCAAAGAACAATGAGGGAAAGTCTGCATCTCCAACTTATGAATAATTTACTTAGAGTCTCCTTGCTTAATCAAAGTCTTTCCTTGTGGCTCAGCTGGTAAAGAATCCACCTGCAATGCGGGAGACCTGCATTTGATCCCTGGGTTGGGAAGATCTCCTGGAGAAGGGAAAGGCTTCCCACTTCCATATTCTGGCCTGGAGAATTACATGGACTGTATGGTCCATAGGGTTGTGAACAGTGGACGCGACTTTCACTCACTCACTCATTTTTTTTTTTTCACTCACTCACTTTTTAGAAACCAGGAACCCTTTCCCACAGTCATCCCATCAGATATACCTTACATTGCAGCAGGCAGAACTGAGATACATGCTAGAGTCTAATGAGACCCCTAAGGTAGAATTAAACCAGTTAGGAATAAGTCACGTTAGGGAGGATGGCTCCTTGAATGAAACACAATTTCCATTAGCAAAGGAAAATGGGGGAGGATTGCTTTGATCACCTCTTCTGCCTGTTAGTGAGGNTCTTTTAAAAAAAAAAAAAAAGAAAGAAAGAAAAGGATAGGAGAAATGGTTGTTTGTATGTTTTTACATATACGTTTTTTACTGCTTACTCCCACTCATCCCATATACTGTCAAAAGAGGTTTTACAAAGGTGTGCGTTGTACATTTCATTTATCCAAGGGCTCTGTCTGTTCTATAAGTGCATGCATCCCCAGGGCCAAGCACAAGGCCTGGTGCAGGACTGGCAGTCAGCAAATGGATGAATGAGTAGCTTAACCCAAGGGAAGGGGCTGGTTGCAGACGCTCGGGAAAGAAGAAAAAGCAATTTGGCACCGGGTTTCTCCAGCTGGTGATGAGGTGGTCCGGGGAAGAAGGAGCTGGCACAGCAGCTAAGAGCAACGGCCGAGTGCTGGCACTTGCTGCAGGGGGTCTGTGCTCCTGAGCTAAGTCCGGACCTGTGGATCAAATCCATCATGGCTGCTGAGGCCTGGAGCCCTGGGGCTCCCGACCAGCAAAGCCATCACTCCTTCTTCCTGCTGGTGCTTCTTCTGTCTTTGCTCCCGCTGGTTCCTGAACTACAGTCGCTACTTTTAGCAAGTCAAAATTCAGGATGTCCCGGTTAAATTTAAATTTCACATAAATAACAAACTCCGCTTTAGTATACACTTGTCTCAAGCACTATTTGCAACATGTACTAAAAATTATTTTTCTAGCCAAAGTTCAAATGTTCTAGCAAAAGTTCTGCAATTTTCCTGGCTACCCTGCCTGGGCCCAGAGGCCCTGTTGAGCTCATCCACTTGGGGAACCTCTCCTCCTTTGAGGCCCGGTCCTGATGTCCCGTCTCGGAGGCTTTCTCTGATGCTTCACTCCACCCCAGGCAGTCACTGCTGTAGTCCTGTGGGCCCATCTCACAATGGGACAACATTCACACTCACATCTCTGAATGTCAAGTACGGGTTGGCCATCCCCCCTTCCCTGCCCCATACCCTGGGCCCCTGGGGGCACCCGGAACATTGGAAGCCCTTGTGTTAAGAAGAGGAATGGGGAAAAGTCAGAACCATAGACAGAGGGATTCCCTGGTGGCTCAGATGGTGAAGAATCTGTCGGCAGTGCAGGAGACCTGGGTTCGATCCCTGGGTGGGGAAGATCCCCTGGAGAAGGGCATGGCAACCTACTCTGGTATTCTTGCCTGGAGTATCCCATGGACAGAGGAGCCTGGCAGGCTACAGTCCGTGGGGTCACAAAGAGTCAGACATGACTAACAGTTTCACTTTCCACTTTCTGAGGGAAGAGAACAAGCCTCTGACTGTAGACATGTGATGTCTCTGGCGGGCTACCCC